GGGGGGGGAGCATTTTGTAGAGTAAACAGATGAAAGATTAGGTATTTTAAGATAGGAAAGCCAGGAAGAATCCTGTGAACACTTATGTTTATTACGATTAGGTTTATTAGGGTACGGACCCAAACATATGGGCAGCTTAGAGGCTCAAGAGGACCCATCGATGACATGCGACGTCGTTGCGTCGCGATACGTAACAGACCGCGCCGATAGGGATGGACCTCGAACGGTGGGGCGAGTAACAAACACAGTCGAGAAAAGGGTGATTTGCCGTCATTCGATCGGTAGCGACGGGGATTATCAGACGTCGAAGTCAGATCTCGCGAGTCTAAGCGACAAATCGAGCGCGTATGTATGAGTGCGTTGCCGAGTTATTCGCGACTCAGGGCCACAGCCCCAGGCGTTGTCGCGAGTCCGTAATAAGCGACCCAGGGCAACAGCTCCAAAGCGTTGTCGCAGATCGCGCACCGACTCAAGGAGACATTCCCCTAGGTGTTGTTGTGTGCCGCGATCAGCCGCCCAGTCGCAACAGACCGACCCGGGGAATCACCCCTCAAAGCGTCGCTAATACAAAGAATCGCGGGACAGATCGCGATTTGCAAGTGTAATTGCCACAAACATTTCAATTTATGCAAAATAAATAAACGTTATACGAAACTACAGTGTGCATATTAATGTTATTCACGCTGATCCACGGAACATTCGCTTTAAACAATATTAAAAGAAAACTTTAATGCATCAAAAACAACTTGTAAGTATTGTATATTTAATTACATTCTCAATTTAAAATACTTGTAAGTGTAGTATATTTATAATTATTAAGTGTAATAAAAAATATATTATAATGAAATGATATTTAGATTTTTTTAGGCTTACCAAGAATAAGATAAGAAATAAAAATAAGAATTTGCGGATTCGTTTGCACACAAGTTTGTGATTTTGTATATAAATATCTTTTTACATTTAATTCTTATACATATCTGCAATAATAAAAATATTTTCCACGAATGGATCAAATTTATAAAGAATTTACTCAAGTTTAAAAAATTGGGACAATATTATGATTTATATTAAAAGTCAGAATTTTATTTAAAAATTCTTTTTCTTTCCATTTTATCAAATATTTTTCAGGCCTATTTATACGTATATGTTATACAGGATAATTATATTAATAATAAGAAATATAAATATCTCGAAAAATATATAAAACACGGAAAATTATTTCAGAAAAAAGTTATGCAGTTTGAAGGGAGATAAATATTAATAAAATTAATTTTCGGATAAGTCAATTTTTCATATGAAGGTTATTGCTTTTATTAAATGAAAGTATATAATTACTAATTTTTTGTACATAATACGTACTTCTTTAATTATGCTGCATATCAAAGTATTAAGATATCAATATATAGTTATCAAAAAATTAATATTTTACAAAATATTTTATGCTTTTTTTACGTCTTATTTCAATATAAAATATGAAATATCTCGTAAACCGTTGACTTCTTGATAATCGTACCTATTAATTCTTTTATGCGCAAAATGATGAAATTAATCGATTGGTGTAAAGAAAACATTCAATTGCTATTAACAAAAATATACAATTTGCAATACAGAATTACATATTATTTTATTTTTAAAACTGAGTGTTTTCTTTATACTAAGCGATTTACCTCGTTATTTTGTGCATAAAAATAGTAGATATAATTATCAAGAAAACAACAGTTTATGAGATATTTCATATTTTACGTCAAAATATGATAAACTATAAAATATTTCGTTAAGTATTAATTTTTTGATAATTATATCTTAATGTTATATAATTAATACATACTAAATTTTATATTTTTAAAAAGGCCATACGCCATCAAAAAGTAGACACTTCAACGAAAATTTTAAGACCTTTTGAAGTTTTTTATCTCAAAAATTGAAATGAATAGAGGAGGTGGCTCGCTTGACAGAGAATGCCCAATATATTGTATATATATATATATACATATACTATATTACGACCGTACAAGTGTTTTAAACACAATAAATTGAGTGAAGGCCAATGAACGGTCAATAGCAGGATCTTGATTCTAATATTTCTGTGTAAATTTTACATATATATTCTAGTTTCAACGAACTGCGTGTCGTTCATCCAAAAAAAATGTTCTACTTATAAGCGGGAAATTCCTTTAACCATTTCCTCTAAAAAAAAAGTTTTACATGAAGCATATTCCTCAGCTATAACGCATATTTATCTATAAAGAAGTGGACCATGCGTTATAATCAAGAATAAATTCTCATAGTAATTCAACATTCTTCTACATTTTAGAATATATATTCATAGTAATTCGATATTCCTCTACATTTTAGAATATCTTTTCAAAAGGTTTATTTAATATTAAAAGGAAAATCTTTTAGCATCGAGAGGGTACCGCTAAAGAATAGAATATTTTTTTGGGTGTTATTTTTGGATTTAACTAGAATTTATGATTAAAATTAGAATATGTAAAATTTACACAGTAATATTAGAAACACCAAGATCCTGCTATTGACAGTTCATATATCTTAATACTTTTATATGCAGAATACATGTATACATATATGTACGAGTACATATAGGTACACTCGGTCACAGAAAGATTGCAACACTTTTTATTTTGATGGGTTTTGGAATGCAATTTTGCTCATGGGCCATTGAATATATCTGGTTAGATCCATTGGTAGAAATCAATCACTTGGTGAATAGACTGTGTTCCGAAAACGATTTTAAAAAAAGTGTTGCAATCTTTCTGTGAGTAAGTATACATTTTATATTTTACATAAACAAAATAATAAAACTATAAATTACAAAGCAAACAAAAAACACAAAACACACTTACCAATGCAGGACACAATGTTTATTGTTTGTCCCCAGAAATACATAAATCCGGAAATGTTCAGCAGAGTAAGAAGTACAGAGAGTAAGATCCAAAAACAAGTTTGCACTTCGGCGATGAGAATCGCTGTGGTACCCATAACGCAGATTAATGCCAAGATGATGTTTCGCAATAGTTCTTGACCTATTAATTTATCGCAAAGCCAATATATGAACATTTTGCACCACACTGTAACGTATCCATGAATTTGCGCTTCATTCGTTAAGAGTTCACTATTATCCATCGCTGAAACGCTTTCATCAGGTCTTTCAAATCGTTTAAAATTGAATTCAATAATTGCTACTGCGATTTGAGGGGTATTCCTACCACACCTCAACTTCTCTTTGAAAAAAAAATTTCTTTGATATTTGGCACCACCTCGACTAAATAGAAATTGCGACAGATAATGATGGAATTTGTCGTCTGAAATCTTCGTTGTCTTTAAATCTGATAAAAGAAATATATTAAATTAATTTCAAAAATTATTTAATTAATCGCCGAATGATCTGTTTGTCTTACTAAAAATTGTACATAAAACCTATTCTATGAATTAAAATAAATTTTGGGTATAAATTAATTTAAAATTTTATAAATATACATCTTTTTTCAGAAATAAATTAAAATTTTTTATTTCACAACTTTCACAGAACTACATATTTTTTTAAAAGCAACTGAGTATTTTCTTTACACCAATCAATTTATCTCATTATTTTGTGTATATAAAAGTATTAAGATAAAATTCATCAAGAAATCAATCAAAGATTTACGATTCAAATAAATATTATGGTAAATAACCTGTAGCATAATACATCGAGACGAATTTTGTGAAGTCAATCGGCCAAGGTTCTAGGTTTTGTACGAAAGACGCGTTTTGTAAGCGTTCTGTCATAGATATTATTTTAGAAAATTCAGAAGAGTAATCAATATCATCTCCCATAATAACGAAGGCTTCATATCCCTGATTGGGAAATGCTTCGTCTCGGATAGCTATAAATTGGTGCAAATACGAATCCTTCGATAATAACCACTTTGGATCATACCATTGTTGTAACTGAAGTAAACCCATAATACTTATGGACATCATTAAAAGAGTAATTAATATTATAATAATTTTTCCCGGAGTAGTTAATAGTATCCGTGAATATAAGAAGTTTATCAATTTCCAGGAAAATGCACTGCTCATATCTGATGACTTGGGCGCAAAATTTTCATGTACGATACATGGTAATATACCATTTCTCTTTTGTTCTATTCTTTTAGCATCCAAAGTAAAGCAGGCAATAAAAAATGTAATTTGTAATAAAAGTGTCACAAATATTCCTACTGCAGCATAAATACAAAACGACCGAAATGTTGGTAAGATCTAGAAGAAGTTATATCGTACAATGTTAATGACATTTTTTATTAAATAATCGTAATTATTATATGTAATTATTATATATAGTATAATTGTTTAATTGAACGAACTTACCCTGAAGTTCGATTCCAATTACGTTTTCCGGATGGATATGTAGTAGCGTTCCGTCACGTTATTCTCAACAGGAAAATTTAAAACTTGAAAAAAAGCTTTGATCGGCATCTCGCGTTCTTCGCCGCGCGAACATAGGTACGGATTTTTATACATTTAAAGCAACAATTAATCTGATAAGGGAAAAGGGTGGGTGGGATTGTCCGGACGAGACAGCATAATTGGAATCGAACTTCACGGTAAGTTCGTTCAATTAAACAATTATGCAACGTCTCGTTCGGATGGATATGTAGAAGTTTAAAGCTCAGATTTGTAAACGTAAATAAAAGTTACTGACATAACATTCATTTGGTGTCGTATGAACAAAATCAGAAAATACAAAATTAATATATAATAATACTGATACAATAAGATAGAAAAAAAGGGGCTTTAATTGACATTAAGTATAAGACAGACTAAAAAGTCGGGTCTTTAATGATCGGACGATTATAAAAACATGCAAAGACCGCCGAGGATTCACTCCATTCGGCGGTACGCCGAATTTCATCTAAATTGAGAACCTTATCTTCTGCAAAAGATGTTGAAGCATGCCGAGTAGAAGTGAGTCAAAAAAATCGAAATATCGATTCCCACTGTTCCCAGCTCTGTTTTGACCCAGCGACCTAACGTCTGGGAAAAAACTGAATTATGTCGCGAACAAATAGAAATATAAAATGAAACGGAATCCTTATAACAAAGCTCTTGTGGGAGCTTAAGATAATATTTCGTCAAAGAAAAAATGCAAAGCTCCGGTCTGTCTAAAAAAAGGCTTAAATACATATAAGCAGAGGTTGAGATCTCTCAATACCCTTAAGCTTAGCCGGAATTTTTATAATTAACAAGTCTGAAAAGAAAACGTTAGAAAAATGTCTGGCCGCTAAAGTCTGCATATGTTGAGCGATTGTGAGTGCCAGAAAAGTTACAAGTTTCCTAGAAATGATCTCAAGAGAAAGAGATTCATGAGAGTACAAGGTGGCCAAATGAGAAAACATCGGGGATCCCAAATAAAATTGTATCGTGGACGTTAAGGTTTCAGTATCGCAACTTCCTTGAAAAATCTCTTTACTAGAGGATGAGGTCTTATTTCATTTGCAAAAAGAAGAGAAATGACCTGACCTCTGGCGTTGAACTCATCTCTTTTAACAATTACTCCTTAAGGCTGACCTACTTGGGTGTCTTTAGAAAAGCCACCGCTTCGGAAAGAGAATATTTTTTTAACAAGGAGTCTCGACGTTCTGCTTCCAGGCCGTTGCGAGTGAGATGTTGCCACTTTGACACAACTAAATCATGCCAAGGTCTCGCTTTTATCTCCTCAAGATCAGGGTCGAAAAGTTCCTTTGCCAAAGCATCGCAGAGTTCTCCTCAACTGCAGAGGTCGCGGGCAGATGCGCCAGCGTGACCCCTTTGACCGGAGAAGATGTAGAAGACGTCTCGTTCTTACTACCTACCAGATCAGCAAAGCAGGAGAAGAAATTCCGAAATATCGGAAAATAATAAATATCGTTGAAAAGGAAAATGAGTATTACATGAAAATAACTATTTGCGTAACCAAAAATTAACAAGTATCGACAATAATCTCTCCTATTCAAATGACAGATATCACAAATGCTTACTGTGAATGTTGTCAAGTCGCATAGATGAAATGGCTTATGCAGCGTAATATTTGTAGTTTTATTTAAATAACTTTTAAACAAGTAAGTGGATCCAAATTAACTTTTGCACAAATATTTATTAGAGCCATATTAGTATACAAAACATATACAAAATTGTATATAGAAAATTTTATTTAATTCTTAATGCTACTTCCTTATCAAATTTGCAAATAGATACTCCAAGACGCGATTTCATAAAAATTAAGAGTAAATAAAAAATTAAATAACTTTTAAACCAATAAGAGAATCGTGCTCAAATTTTGCACAGTTGCTCAGATGTATTAATAGAACAATCTGCAGAATTTTCATATTTTTCGTAATGTTTTGAGATATATCACATACATCTTTAAATTTTCCTGTTGAGGATAATGCGACGGAATGCGACTACATATCCATCCGGACGAGACGTTGCATAAATCGTAATTATTTCCATGCAAAGAATGCATAACAAATTGATTAACTTGATGACAACGAATAACAAAATTGAATCACTTGGTAATTTTATATGCAGAATTATTTGTTAATTGGTAATTTGACATATGCTGAAATTAATTCAATTAATTATTTCAATTAAATCGATAATATGTTACTGTATTTT